GGAATAATTGTTAATTAGCCATTAAGGAAAGGAGGAGTTAAAGTTGTGGTGTAGAAATCACGCGAGCCAGGAAGGATATTATGAAAGAGGCTGGTTAAAAATTATTTAAGTGCCATTAGAGAAGGAGAGTGCTGACCACATCGGTAATATTATCTGTAATACATTTTAAATTGTAAAGTGGAATGCTGTTTTAATTATTCTTTGTCTTTGTAGAAAGTTATCGAAAAAAAGATTTTGTTGTCTACCTCGGTACAAGTCTCATTCTTTAAGCATGTCATATTTCATACCTTATTCGTCTAGGCTTTCAGTCTTCGACAATGGAAAAAAGTCGCACGAAGTTGCATTTTGGTTTAAGTGAGATAAAAAAAACAACAAGGACGAAAGTTTCAGACGAGAGATATTCACTGTCTTCGTTTCTACCGAGGAAATGAAACTAGAAAGACACGTGTCCGTTAGATCGAGTTCAATGAGGACTGGGCTCCTTAGAGCTGCAAAGTTGTAGAAGAACCCGTAATTCCGTTGTAGATGTATGTATCATTGAATGGTACAAACTGGTGAGTCACAAGTTTGACGATTTCTTGAGCTGCTGCACCTGAAGGAAAAAAAAAGGTAACGTAGACTTAATACCGCCTCCCATACAAGCGGGCACAAAATTCAAAAGGATTTAATAAATCTAATGCTGAATGTCATTTGTGATAATCCTAATTGGCATAAAATAATATTTTGCCGGCATGAATCAGTGGACTGGTAGTGGGTGCGAGGTATGCGGAGAGTTAAAGAATCGTATTTTTTTATTTGAGGTCGTTAGTAGGCTACGGTCAGCTTTCGCCGTGTAAAGTGGTTACGTTTCGTTTTCGTTTAAATTGATTTATTTATTTACTTTTTTTTTATAAAATATTGTCATGTTCACATCAGGTTGTACAGCTGTACTCGTATACTTCCTTAAGTAACTGTTATCTACTTGTGTATATTATGTTATTCATAGAACACCCTAACACCCCAAGGGTAGCACCACTGCCTTGGTTGGGAGTACACGTTCCCCGTTTTTTCCACCTGTTGGTTTTAGGGGTTTTCGTGTCCAGCTTTGGTGCATTAAGTCTTCTTCAATCGCAATATACTTTTGTAAGCATATTGGTTTTAAATAAATGGTACGGTGGCTTGGCTGGCCAACGGCCCAGATACCATCACTTTGTCTTCCCGGTTGAGTTGTGAAAGCAAAACATTCCTCTTACCTCCAATGAAAGCGGCGACAGGGTGCAATTCGCTAGCTCCATATCGACACCTGAAACCAGGCGGAAAGGTTACTTAAACGCACCATCTTAGCATGTTTGTCCTTAGTTTTCTGAGTGTTACCAAACCAGCTTTCCAAACCATCTGCACTCAATTTTGGGCCGATTGTGGATTCCAAAATCTACTTTTTTCAACTCAACGTGCTTAATGGCCGTTATTTATACAAGAAAAATACCGACTACAAATTTCAGTCCCCTATCACAGTTTTCACACCAACCACGAGTCCAGAATTAAAGCAAACGTGAAACTTAAGTTCAAGCATGTACAATGTGACGTAAAGTAATACTAAATAAGGCCTTACCACCAATCGTGAAACCATGATAAACAAACTAACCGAGAAGAGTACCGTTTGTCAAACAGAGCATAGAAGACAAACATTGCAAAACGGCTCCATCTAATACAAAATAAAATTCTGGAAAAGTTAAATTAGAATTGACAAGGTTAATTTACTCTTCATACTCACATTTCGTGAACATATTCTTCCTTGACGTCCGCGTTCACTGACCATTCTTGAAGTAAAGAGCTGAGACAACTCTAAACAGAACAGAATTCATAAGAAATAAATAAACTTAATTGTGTTGGGCTGAGGAAACTCTGAATATAACAGAATTCATAAGGAATAAATTAATTTAATTGTATTGGCATCAGTAGAAGAAGAAAGCACTGTTCTAGAAACACATACTCGTCCGTGCCATAACATTTCAATGACCCAATTTAGTTATATATGTTATGTGGCAAGAATTTTTAGTGAAGGAATATATGTCTATTGGTATACTGTCCGATTATTCATGGACTATCTGTAAACTCTCCTATGTTACTGTCCAATACGCCATTTGCAAAATGTCAAAATTCTCTGTTTTTAAACCGATAGCAAGTGTAAGGTCTTAATAAGAAGATAACTTTTTTCGTTTTCGAGTAATTTAAACTCACTTCCTCAAGAAAGGCTTTCCGCGTAGCCTTATTTTGAAGGTGAGGGTATTTCGAGCGCGGTAATAGAACTGATAATTCCAACCACAACGCTGAGCTGTACTGCTATAGTATGAAGCTAAGCTGTGTGCACCGAAATCTCTGCTATTAGTGCTTAAATCAGACTGTTGGCTATCAAAAGGGTCCCTAAATTTTTGCCGCTGTCCTCAGTACGCTGATAAATTAGCCGATCAAATCAGATTCTCAGACCATGAACTAAATCCCTCCAAATCAAGCCAACATACCTTTAACTTCACGACATCTGCCTCCACTTGTTCATCAAAATTACCTTGAGAAAAGTTGCCACAAAGTTATTTACTTAGCTCACTAGTAAACTTGATTAACATTTTTCTCATAATTCCTCGCCAACAATGAGACACAAGACAAAAATAATACAAAAATAAGCGATAAAAGTAAAACAATTTCAAATCAGGTAGGCTGGAATTTACTTGTTTACCTGGATGTCTATGATACTGCGAGTAGAACCGATCCACTGCTTTTAATAAGATGTAGAACACAACATTACTGTCTGGATCTTCAAGATAACCAGCTGAAAAGGAGAAAAAAAGGAATTTCACAGAGAAGAATTACTCTTAAAGTGCACGAATACAGCGATAAAGAATGGTTCACTACAATGAGAAGCGCTCACGAATAAGTGTTTTAAGACCAGAACCAAAGAGATCACAACAGCCAATCGGAGGAAAGGAAAATATCACATTGAGTATCACATGAGATAGCAAAGTAAATAGACGCAAACTGCAAGCAGGAAAAACGCGAGCGACAAGTTTTCTGGACCAATCACAGAACGAAGTAGAGCAAAACGAAAGAAATCCCGAATCACTTTCGATACTCGATGTTAACTAAATACACCGCATTTAGAAGTTCTACATTTTAATAGAAAGGAGGTGACACACACCTAATTCATTCGCCTTGGCCAAAGAAGGTTCGCTCTCTTCAGCCAAGGATCTACCGCGAACTAATCTCAAAAATGCCGCATTCTTACCTAAAAAAGAAAAATGTGTATTAGACTAAAAGAGACAGTCACAAACTGGACAAAAACCACATACAGTCAAATATAAAATCTTGGGAGTTTAGGGTAAAAGAGAGAATATGTTCACTTTCTGTTTAAATAATCCATCGTTGGTTGATTGACTTGTGAATTGACTTGCACTTGCCCACTTGTTCAAAGGGATGATATTCAACGGATAAAACGCTATCCAGCGGATAATTATTGACAAAAACTTTCAAATCTTTCGATGACTTTCAGTTCGGTTTTCAAGATTTGGGAGAATGTGGATTGAATATTTAACTTTTACATTAGAAATTGCCTCTACTTACAGAAAAGCCTAATTTCCGAATCTGAAATGCTATCTGTTGACTGAAAAATAATCTAGGTGTCAACTAACACATACAAAAACAGACTACAAAGAAATAAACAACCGTCCATTTGTTAACTGAAGGGCCTGGACAACCAGATCAAAAGCCTTCATGTACACATACAGATCTTGCCTCCTGTATAAAGCTGAAAACTACCAAGTGAACACAATTCGGTTTTACTTACAAAAGGAAACTACTCAAGTAAAATCCTAATTTTAAAAAACATAGAAGAGAGAGAGGGAGAAGGGAAAAAAAAAAAACAAAACAAAACAAATCAGTGTAAGTCCACAGCCATCTCACCTTTCCTAAGTCGAGTAGTATTCTATGCACCCGTTGAGTTACTACAGCAATATCTTTTCTTGCCTGTTCTTGATATCTTGAAAAGTTAAAAAATGTGAACGCCATTATCAACTTCCTTCCAGATATTCGTTTCGACCGTTTTAGCTGACTTGAAAGTTAGTACACGGTTCAATAAATGTATTTGTGTGAGTTTATATAAATTGATTGATTGGAATTATTAACGTCCACTTTTCAAATCAATAATAGTGAGAAAATAAGAGTGAGAAAAAAAAACAAAACATTTTTTGTTGAAATTTTACAATGATTCGTTTTAATTCATGTATGCACTGATCTGTGTGAGCTATCCTCTCTCTCTTAATGTATTCTATTGCGTGTAAGAGGACAGCAAGTCAAAAGAAATCAGGAAAAAAAAATTGAAGACAATTTTCCCCTGGAAATACTTAGTACACTTCAATAAGCAAGGCATCACCCTAGGAAAGAAGGACTGTTGAAACAATCACATTTTGTTCCAGTCCAAGAGGGCAAGTTTATATGTAATATGTGTCTGTATCATCATCTGATCAAAGGTTAAAGGCTGATAGATTCGAAAGAAACTGTTTGGGGCTGCGTCGGTGGGAGTAACGAAACAATTTGGATATATGAACAAAGTTGAAATGGTAAATTGGCCACCGTAACGATTACAAAAGCTGACGTTTCGAGCATTAGCCCTTTGTCATTCGCTTCGACGAAGGGCTAACGCTCGAAACGTCAGCTTTTGTAATCATTACCGTGGCCAATTTACCATTTCAACTTGGTTGATATGATCAAAGGTTAAATTAACACTTACATATTCTGAAGCTCAATGTATCTTTTTGAATCTGCTGTCATATCTGGGATGGATCCTCTTAAGGGAAGAGCACCTAATGGGAAAATATATCATTCACCCTTGTTACGTAGTGTCACAATAAGAAATAGCAAACTTTTCATGCTTCAATACTGACTGTCATAATGAGACACTTGGGGGGCTAAGTGTTATGAACACAGTTTTTTTTTTTTTCATCCTGGCTTCTCCAAGAAGTGAAGGTAACAACACTTGTTTGAGTAAACAACTGGATGAAATGCAAAAAAAACAAAGAGAGAGAGAGAGAGAGAGAGAGAGAGAGAGAGAGAGAGAGAAAAGAGACCAAAGAAACAAAAAGGACATTGAGTACAAACAACTGAACCTCAGCAAAATGGCACAGGGACAATCTATGGTGAAAGAATGGAGAAATGGAAAAGGAGCCAAAGTGGAAAAACAAATAAGAGTATAGTAGAACAAAAACAAAAAAAAATTGACAAATAATGAAATGAAAAAGCTGAGGTTTGGAAAAAGAGTAAGGAAACAAAATATAAACATGGTGCAGATGGAACAACAAATTTCAAAGCATATTGGATTACTAAAAATTACCTGAGCCCTCATTTTCTACAAATTCTTTGACAGCTTTGGCCAAAATCCAAAAGGAGCTACGCTGAAGAGAGAGGAACTTTTCATTTACAATCCATGCTACCAAAATGGTTCTTCTTTATTTGTACACAGCTAGTTTTGCTTTATGCTTAATTGTTCATGAATACTTACAGATTCAGTAAAGTTACTACAAAAATCATCTGCGAATATTTTGGAAACTTCACAAGGTATCTGCAAGAACAACGACAAAAAATGTGTAAGTGACAAGATGATGACTTGAAAATTCCACAAGAAGGTGAAACTATGATCACTTAAAATCTTCCTTACCCTGGTGGGAACAAGAGCTGTGTTCACAGCCCTGATGGCCTCATCAAAGTTTTCTTCTTCTTCAGGGATGCCATCTTTGTTGACTAAAATTCCTGATAGGAGAAGTAAATGAATAAAATTTTCTTAATTTTTTAGAACCCTACAAATTGGATAGATTTGAGCAGAAATTATCAGGCTTAGTTCTTTGATACCCCTTCCTAAGAACCTCTGCCCATATATCTTAAATTTTCTCTTGCCAAACAAGGAGCACCAAAGTCAACAGCTGATCATAAGTCCAGATCAGCCTTTTAGCTGCCTTTATTAATGACCCACATGACAAATAAAGTAGGCAAAATCTATGTGTAATCTTCAAAGAAAGCATATGTTCAAGGTTGGTGCTTTAATTGCATTGTTGTAAGAGAGGGATTTTATGCTACATAATTTACCAAGCATGAACTGACTAACCTCCCCTAATTGTTTGTTTAAACATGTCTTTTTCTTTGTAATTTTGTGGAGCTCTGTCTTTGTGCTGTAGAGAAAATGGCTCAAGTTCAGACAAATGATTATTGTAAGTTTAGAGCACGCCCGAGGTCTTGACAGTACGGATCGAGCGCAGCTTGGTCCATCCTAAAAAGACCGAGAGCCGATATTCTTCCAGTACGGTCCCGAGCAAGCTTGGTTAATAAGAGATTTATTATAAGACTGAAGTTCAAAGGGACACAAGTGCAGTATCATTCGGGACCATTCGGGACAGTGCCCGGTCCAATACTGAGAAAATATTGACCGGCAATAGAGCATTTTGATTGATTGATTTTAGTTATTGGCCCTCTGACTGCCCGAGTCGTGTAATAAATACCCATATCCTGGGACAGATCATCTAAGGAATTTGATTGGTCAGAATTATATTTACACTCAAAGCTTAAATTGAAGATTGATCACAAAAAATATTTCTAACATTTTTAACTATTCATTCTTTAATGACTAACCTCTGCTTTCCATTTGTTTAAGTACTTTAATAACAGTACTACGTATGGAGTGTGGCCATGCTCCTGTGACAAAAGAGAACAAAGTAGAAATGAGTCTCTTTATTTCAATATTTCTTTGTGGGAAGTGTTTTATCAATTATATGTTTCCTTTCATTTAATAATTATCTAGTTATTGATAAGAACAAAATGATGCCTTATGTTCATTAAGAGCATCCCTGAGCAGCTTGGTGAAGTGATATAAGTTTTATGCATAAAACAATTTGGAGAATAAATTATGATTTTAACCTCCCCTCCCCCCCCCCACCAGAATTGTCAGGCTACCCAGACAGTTCCCTGTTAGCAATTTACACCCCTCGGTGGAGAGAGGCACTGTGAGAACAAAGTATCTTGCACAATGACTCAGGTCTTGAATCTGCACCTCTCAACCTGGAATCCAACATGCCAACTGTTAGGCTAGCAAATCTCCTGGCCAGGGGTTACACCTGGACTTTTTGATCCAGAGTCCAGCATTCATACCATTTAGAGACACTTAGTCACTTGACTAGGCATGTATTATTTACCTGTTTTGTCATGGTGTTAAGATCTAAGGCATCCACATACTGTACAAGACCAGGAAAAGGTCGGTCTAATCTCAGATCTGGATGAGTACTATCAGGGTGTGATTCAACAACTGCATATTAAGTGAGAAAATCCTTGTCAAGAAAAGAAACTTCTTACAAGTTATAGATTTTTTGCAGTTAACTTACCAGGGCAAGTCAATCCACAAAAGAAAAACTTTAATTGCAACCTCTTATTTATTGCATACTAAAAGTTTACCAGCGGTGGTAACCCAAAGTGTAATCAACTAAGTTTTCCTGGCTCACATCCTGGCATACAGAATGCGGGCAAGAAGCAAACTCCATACTCCCATTGGGGGGATGCACTTAGCAAATGAAACCATAGTTGAAAGGGAGTAAGTTTCTAAAGAAACTGTGGTGCTGCGTTGGCGGGGGTACCAAGGTATTTTGGTTTTATCAACTAAGTTGGTAATTGTAAATTTTTCACCATAAAGAGTTAAAAAGTTCATGTTTCAAGCATTGGCCCTTTGTCAGAGTGAATCACTAGGGGCGAACGCTTGAAATGTCAGCTTTTGAACTCTTAACAGTGGTAAATTTATAATATCAAAATTAGTTGATAAAACCAAATTACCATAGTTTAAACCTTTGGCTGTGTGACCTCTTACACTGATGAAAGCTGACATTCAGCTAAATACTTCTATAAAAAACAATACCTTCCAGTCAAAATCTTTTACACAGAATGTGAGCTATTCTCAGAAATAGAGATACTATAATATTATTCCCCACAAAAATATGATGTGATGCTTACCACAGTGTTCTTGCAACACAATTCTCATGCAACCAATAAAGCCATATGAGTGACAAACTAACAGCGGTATATTACTGGACCACAGCAAGGAACCAAGTTTTAAAAGAGTTCTGTAAATTAAGATGAATTGTAAGATATCTCTTTATATTTGAAAAAGTTTGAGGGTGGTTGAAATTTAAACCAAAAAACTGAGTAACTCTAAGGATGGGACTTAAATGAATATCTTCTTATAATAAACAGTAAAGTATCTATTAGATTTCACTTACTCTTCTGGGAGCTGAGTAGCTATAACCACAGTAAATGACTTGAAATAGTCACTGTTTTCCCGTAACAGGCATTCTGTTGTCTAATCGAAATAATGACAAGATGAGACTTAATGACTAGCAAAAGTTGTTGAGTATTTAGTCTTTTACTGATAATTATACACCACTCTCAAAAATGGCTGCCGCATTGATATTCTTTTGTTTAAATTCAAATTAGCCTCACCAGCCTCGCTTGAGATAATGCATTCTTTTGAAATTTGTACTGGAGAACGAGGCCAGAAAGGCTAATTGAAATTTAAACAAAAGAATCCAGCAGCCATATCAATCCAGCAGCCATTTTTGAAAGTGGTCAATGATCATGTACAAAAAGCATCATACAGTGAAACTCAAAAATGATTAACCCTTTGCTACACGTACATGTTAAAAATTCAAATTGTTTCCTAACAATGTTTGCAAATTACATAATTTCATGAGGGAATGCCTAGTGAGGGTCTTATTACCCACTGCACCATGTTTAGTTGAGTGGAACAATAAGTCAGTCTGAGAAATCGATGGAAAATAGATCCAACAAATACAAGAAATAAATTGTTGTACAATTTAGGGCTATTCACAAAATTAGCTTAAAAATTATCATAGCACAAACTGTATCACCATTGAAAAAAACAGACTAAGACATCACTATGCACAATGAATGAAAATTTAATTAAGGGAAAGAAATTCACTCTTCCTTGTTTCCTCTCAAACTAAAACTTAGTTTTATTGGATGATCAATACATGGGAAATAAACAACTCTATGAGATGGCCTCAGCAATAATCTTGAGAATATTTGTGATTCCTTTGATGATTAAGAAGTTTGTTTACCTCTTCAATGAAATCTCCTGACACATCTGAATTAAGTTCAAGAAGAAGTTCAGTGGTGCACTCTGCCCGTGACTTATCAAAGAGAAAGAACATGACAGACATGGTCAACTGATTAACTTTACTTCATTTAAAAAAAAATAAAGATTTCTTTCACTGTTACCTTGCCAACATTTCTACGATGCTGTACATTATTTCTTTACTCATACATTTTCAGTTATAACTCTGTACATGTACATTCCAAAATATTCTTATTTGCAACAAATAGGAGACTGTACTCTTAGCAATAAGTGGATACAGAGTATGCTCATAGTTATTTTTAAGTGTTAAAATTTTGAATATTACCCACAGAACCTGAAAGAATTGTTTACTCTGAGATCTGTTGACTATTCTATGAGAGGAACCAATATTATTACTCTTTTTAGACCTGTTACTGCTACTTATGGCATAAACTCTTTCAGTCCTACAGCTGCTAAGTACTGGAATGCTCTACCAGATAACTTGAGAGCTATATTGTCTCTAAATAATTTCATTTCAGCCATTTGTCAACAGAATTTCATTATATGATTAGCTAATAATAATGATGATAATATTCTTATACTATTTCTAGCTAATGCAAATAGTAATTCATTTTATTCTAGGATTGAAAATTATTTTTTCTTTTTTCTTTTTTTCCTTGGAGATACTAGCCTGCCTTTGGCTACTCTTAATTTGAGATGAAATAAAGTTTTGTGCATGTAGGTATGCATGTATGTAGGTATGTATGTATGTATGGTATGTATGTATGCATGCATGCATGTATGTATGCATGCATGCATGCGTGTATGTATATATGCATGCATGCATGCATGTATGTATGTATTCTAATTCACTACAGAGACACGTATAGAACAGAAAGACTGATAATAAATGGTCAGATTAAGGCACTGTTACCATCTTAATGAATTTGTGACAGTTACAATGAGGTCTAAATCTATTTTTCTTACCTTCCCAATACAATCTTTATCTAAAAAGAAGCTGTAAAAAGCAAGAGGCAAAATAACTTAAATTAAATCAAGTTACCAGTGGCACAAATATTGATATCAGAAAAAAAAAAATGAATAATTTATGAAAATAATTAAAAATGTATTTTCCTCCTTGAGTCAGATTCACCTATACAATACAATTAATGACTGATTTCTAACATCAAGCAGCAATGTTTGCTTCCTAAATGCACTTACTTGTTGCCTACATCTTCACCAGTAACCTTCTCCCCATCCACAATGGTAAAAGATCCTATACCTAATAGAAATGAAACACATTCAGTGTGTTACCATTTGAAACTTATTATGTGTTATTGGTGATCTGAGAATTCCCTAGGTACCATGAAGAATTCTTTGGAGAAATTCTGATGACTTTTGTTATCTAAATGAATAAAAAATTCTCCTTCTACCTCACTTTATTTTGCAGTAAATGACTTGAACCCGGGGGTAACATGTGAAGGTGTAGTCTGATCGTCCGGGTGAGTGTACTCCTGAGAAGGACTGTTGGTGGTAGTGACTGATGTTTCAACAACCTGTGCGGATGTCATCATCAGAGTCAAGTGAATGATTGTTGTCAGTAGAATGTTCTTATTCCAGTTCATGTAAAATGATCGGTTGGTTTTGCTGTGATGTTATTGGCTGTAAGACTCAAGTGATGTAAGTCGGTCGTGATTGGTCTGTTTCGATCTGTCGGTAAAGTTAGGTTGTTCTTTTTCGGTCGTTTGTGATGTTTATGTTGTGAATGAGTCGTTTGTATGGAGTGGGTAGTTGTTGATATCTGTTTAGGGGAGTCTGTTCTAAGTTAGTAAACCAGCTTTCCAGAGTCAGTCGTTGAAAATAGTCAGTGTTGTAGGTTAGGCATTGCGCAGAGTCCCAGTCAATGTTGTAGTTGGTAAGTCGATGGTGTTCAGCAATGTCATTGCTGACATCACCTTTCCTTGTCGCCCGTCTGTGTTCAGTCAGTCTTGATGTCAGCAATGACATTGCTGAACACCATCGACTTACCAACCACAACATTCACTAGGACTCTGCGCAATACCTAACCTTCAGCACTGACTATTTTCAAGGACTGACTCTGGAAAGCTGGTTTACTAACTTAAAACAGACTCCCCTAAACAGATGACAACAACTACCCGCTCCATACAAACGATTCATTCACGACATAAACATCACAAACGACCGAAAAAGAATGACCTAACTTTACCGACAGATCGAAACAGACCAATCACGACCCACTTACGTCACTTAAGTCTTACAGCCCATAACATCACGGCAAAACCAACTGATCATTTTACACGAACTGGAATAAGAACATTCCACTGACAACAATCATTCACTTGACTCTGATGATGACTTCCGCACAGGTTGTCGAAATGTCAGTCACTACCTCCGACAACAGTCCTTCTCAGGACTACACTCACCCGGACGATCAGACTACACCTTCTCACTTTATTTTCTTGCTACTACTAACATTTCTTAATGAGAAACCTGTAAACTGCTAGCCTCACCAAAATTACCCAGACGTATATGATCATCACAAGCATTGGGTGCGAATGTTAGAATGTCACTGGCAGTTTAATCATAAATTTTACCTGGAAGAATGAGGTTCTTGAGAATTTCAGTTCCAGTGGCTGATGCAGTTATCAAGCAAATCTTGGCTCCTTCCAGAGCTTCTTGCCCATGATCTCCCCACAGTCTTAACAACAACAAAAATAACACATCTTTTTTCTAACTAGCTTAAAACAACAAGTTAAGGTACCAGTAACCTTTCAACTCTGTGACAAAAGTGAATTCAACTTGTTTTGGGATCTTTTATAAAGCTGTGAAGACAATCTCATGAGAGGTCTGGCCACCTAATGGCAAAAAATGACTCTGGATTCCAGATTGAAAGCTCTACATGTTTGAGTTCTGGTCAATCACTGAGTCAGCATGATTTTGCAGTCTGGTTGTCTGGATGAAATAGTATTGATTAAAACTATAAATGTCACTTGTAGTGACTAGTGCTGTGACAATATAGACTTTGTCTCTGATGACCTCTTACAGGCTACGGTCATCAAAATGTTGGTTGCTGCAACCACAGGGGCGGATCCAGGACTTTTTTTTGAGGAGGGGGTGCACCACTAAAGAATGGCGTAACTGACTGGTGACTGGACGTAAACAAATTGTAATAGCAAATACGAAGAAGACTTTTGCCTAGGCAATAACTTAATATGAACTGCTGAGAATACATATCAAACAATACAGTAGATTTTGTATAACTGTGAAGCAGACTGCACAGCGTCAATGCAATGCTGTAAAAGTAATGTGTCATTTTGGTCATAACACCACTTGTAATAGAAAGCCACAGGTCATCTTAGGGGGGGAGGGTGCACACCCCCTGCACCCTCCCCCTAGATCCGCCCCTGAACCAACAACAGTTCTTCCCAGGTTTACTCTCACCTGGACAATCACATGTACACTATAGACTAAACTCTAAATCATATTTTGCAAATATAAGGTATCACCTATGCAGGAAAAAAAAAAAAAAAACCTCCCAGCCAGACAGTATTCTCTGACACACTTATTCAGAGGAAAACGTGTAACAGATAGCAGAGAGGTATTTGCTTGTCAGATACAGGGAGTTAAAGATCACTGCCGAAAGCTGTCAAAGTCACTCGGCTGTCCCTAGCCTGGTCAAGCTCTAAGGATCAATGATCAATATCTTAACTCTGCAACTCTGTCCATAACGACGTAATCATCCAAATGGGAAAGATTAACATACTGCATGAAAAAAAGGACGATAAATGAAACTGAAAACCCGCGCGCTCTGAACATAATAAATTTGTACATTGTACGTGTATGAGTGGCTAGCCACTGAGGACTAAGGTACAGACCTTATTTGATTTTTACCTGGAATGCTAATCATTTCCGTTTGGCTGGTGGACACATCAAGATCCTTACAATCGTTACATCTATGATCTGGTCTTTTCTGATATCTCAAGATCTGTTAGACGCAGTTGTCAAAAACCACTGATCACGAACGCGCGTCCAGCTTACCCGCCTATCTGCGCATTCTGTTACACCTAACATTTCTTTCCCGATGCAATTTTTCAACATCATAATGCACATCAATTTCTCTTACCTTAACTGACGATCATATTTTTTGTTTTTATCCAGAGCTACTTTTGACATTTTCCGTTTCCTTGAAGGGCCCGGTGAATCCACCGCTTTCCTTTTCATTACGCATGGGTACTGCGATAAATAAACCACCATTCCTTCTGGACAGCGGTGCTAAACAATCTTCGACAAGCTTCGGATTCTGTCGTTAGGCTCCGACATAGGACGAGCGCAGTTTTGCCGAAAGGTACTGGTACTTGCAACGTGGCATGCGCATGAATACAGAATATACGAGACAATCATGGCGGACGTTGAATCCTCTGTAAGGTCCGCTACAAAGGTGTGTTTTTCTGATAATTCTTCCCCGCCGTGATAGACTTAGCTTCTAAAATGGTGCAGTACTTGCTAACCGCCATTATATACGAAGTTATATTAATTTCTGGTTGTTTTACCGTTGATACACTAGAGAACATCCATGTGGCTACTGACATGTCTGATCTTTTGGCTCAATATTTCGCCCGTTTGGCCCTTCTATTTGCCTGGAATTGCTCCGATTGATTACCAAAAAGGCGAAAAACTTGATGTTAAGGTACGTTATTTAAACTTCAAATATCATGATCTAATATTATGTGAGCATCCTCAATAAATCGTGAGATTTTGATGCTTACATATAGTATATCGTATTTTAAATTAAACTTATTTTTGTTTTTGTTTGTTCGAGGCAAAATTAATTACAACTGTATCGTGGAAATTTTTCTTGTCGATTCGATTTCGTTTCTGATCATGAACACTATTTCATCCTTTTAACACAAACCTCAAGAGTCATTTCCATAGATTTTTTTTGCCTCGTGAACACGGTTGCTATGCCTTCGTTTAATAGTTCAAAGCTTGAAAAAATCCTAAATGATGCCCTAAGATTGTAATAGCGGTCATGTTTGATTTAAATGGTGTTTTGTCTGTACAGGCTGTAAAAATGACCAGCATCAAGACACAGCTGCCCTTTGAGTATTACTCTATTCCTATTTGTAAGCCTGACAATTTACAGTACAAGCCAGAAAACCTTGGTAGGGGTGATTTGTTACACTTTTCTTTGTTTTTGGACCTTAAAGCAAATTTAGATATCATTGAAAAAGTTCAATTTTTGTTATAGAGTGTTTACATGTATTTATTTAATTGGGTGCTCGGAAAAAGGGTACTTTGAATAAATATATGATTAAGAATATTATGAATCATTATTTTGTGGGAACATCTAGGGTAGTGAGAGTAGATTTTGAAATTTGAGGTAAAACACTGTATCTGATAGCAGATGCAGGTCATTCCTCTTTGTTCTTCTTGCTTTCTTATAAGAAAATAAACATATTTGCCATTTAAGAGTGTTGTCTGAAAAAAGTGCAATTTGTCTGTAGGGGAAGTACTTCGCGGTGACAGGATTGTGAATACTTTATATGAGGTTTGTATTATTCTTCTAAACACTGTAGCACACCTACAAATAATGATGATGTACTTGTAAGAGGTAAACCTGAACTTCTCTCAATTTTTTCAGTTTGCTATTTACATGTCAAGTGCAAAATGCCAGATGCACTTACTACTGGGCGGTTTTTTTCTTTTTCTGCCTTGTAGATTAGAATGGCTCAAAACAAGAGTTGCACTTTACTCTGCAAGCAAACAACTGTGAATGCAGAGGAATCTACAAAACTTTCCAAGCTGATATCAGATGAATACCATGTTCACATGTAGGTAGTTTCTTACATTTGTTTCTTTTCCTGTTTTTCTTTTTATCATTTCATCTTTTGTCATTTTGCCTTCTTTCCACTTTTTACTTCTAAATGTGGTATTTTTTGTTGTGTCCTATTTTTATGTGGTTGGGTTTAAGGCTTTTACCATGATTAAAGGCTGCCAATGGTGAATTTGGCAGTCATGCCTGAAAAGTGGCCTCAAGGCCTCATTCCCATATGGGAGTCTGGGGGTGAGTTTCTACCCCCTTACACCCTCCCCCCTCCCTCCTGTTGCTGCTGAATGTTTGCAAAACTCACACACTGGAGCAGGGGTTTCAAAATGTTTTGAAGTAGGCAGCCCACTCTGGAAAAGTAGGCAACTGGGATAATCAAGAGATTGTTTGTCACAAGCAGACTGTTATGATTAGAGTAGCCGGCGACATACAATCAAGTAGCAGGTGGAACTCTGGTGGTCGCTGGCTTGTTTTGAAACCAGTGCTGGAGCCTGCTTCCAGGTTAAACTGACAGCAGTTAAAGGTTTTCAGAAGCAGTGGTAGAACACTAAATTTTTCTCTTTTTCCATCTTTATTCATTTCTCTTCTCTAAATTCCGTCCATTCTTTCTCTTGTGTTGTATTCACATAATATCTTCTCCCTTTGTCTCTCTGTGACTGGAGCATGATTTCAGTTCTCACAAACCCCTTTACATACAATTTCAGGGTTATTGATAATCTACCTGTGGCAACAAAATTTGTTCTTGAGACTGGTCAGGTAAGAAACATAGTTGCTAAAACAATTTAAGGGTCATTTTGTTTTACCCAATACTCTTTTCAGTACAATTTTCAATTTTTTTAAAAAATTGTAACTAATATTAATAATAATGTATAAAAAATTACAAATTAAACAATACAGCATGTAGTACTTTGTTCTAGTACATTTGGGTTTGTTCATGATTTTTTATATTTTGCCTTAGGTCCAGTATGATCATGGGTTTAAACTAGGATTTTCTAGGGAGAAGGTTAGTGACAGAAAAATGAATATACTGTCTTGATATACAGTCTTGCTATAAATGCTATTTTTTTATTTTGTTTGTATTATTGACAAAAAAATTTTACAATGAAAAAAAACAAAAATCACAGAGGACAAAAAAAAAATGAAGTCACACTCTCAGCAGAGGTCCATCATTAAGTTCTGTAAAGTGAAAGTAAATTCAATGTGAATTATTTAAGTGAAATGCAATGAAGCATTAATTTTGTTGTGTGAAAATAAAAGTAGAATCTCATCTCTATTTACACACTTTAAATCCCTGTCCCACGGCTCAACACTAACAGTAGCCAACTAGCCACTGATTAGCAGAAATTCAATTTTGGCAAGTGGTTTTCGATTTCCACTAACCAGTTTGGCTAGTAAACAAACTGAAATTGTTGTAACATCTGAGATTTCCTCAGCCACTTGGCTAATCAGTTCAAAAGTTAGTGTTGAGCCGTGCTGTCTGCTAACAGCAGTGCTGTAATTTCTTTTTTTTTTTTCTTTCTTTGAGGTGATTATTTTTATTGGTATTCCAATTCTCATCCGAATTAATCGGTAGATTGTACTCTTTTTTAGGAGACTTACCTTAACAATCATTTAATGATGATCCTCAAATATCACACTTATGATGAGTGAGTAAACTTCTGCATTTTATTCCTTTTTCAGTTGTGAGTGTCGTCTCTCTTTGTAAGATAGCAAAAGTTTCTCATTTTCTTTCTGTAGTGTTACATTCCGTGTTGTTGGATTTGAAGTACAATCAAAAAGGTGAGAAAGTTATTGCAAGGAAATTAAAATTACTGACTGTAAATCAAGCTGTGATGTCAGATGCCATCCCAAAACCATTTTTGTTTTTTGGCTTGGCAGTTAGGAACCTGCAAAATGTTGGTGGTGTACTGCATTGAATTCAACTGTTAAGAATTCTTTATTGGCTTGTTTGGCCAAATGGCTCTGAGAACCAATAATGTGGTGTACCTTAGTATTGTTACAATTGAGAATGATTGATTAAAATTCCTGTTTTGAATTTTTGTTAGTGTGGCAACAGATGCTATAGCTGTGGAAGCAAATAGTAATAAGTGTTCCTTTTTGAGTGACAAGCTTTCCAGTCAGCTGCGCATTACTCCTGACCGTAAGTTTGATTGTCAAGGACAGTTTAGAGATACACCCCATGTTGCTGTGCATCTTTTCATTAGATCACAGATGATGTCTGTAACCCTTACTCTCCCACAAGTGACCAAGACAGAACAAATTATGGAATCTTCAACATAAGATCTCAGGGTACTAAAGTCTGGAATGATATAAGTGAAGTGTTTTAAGGAAAACCTTAAGCTAGTTCTTGAAAAATATTTATTTAATAATTTTTCTGGCCTTCCCTTTGCTTTTTTACACTGATATTCCTTGCTTCCTGGACCTTGTTTTGTATGATGTTGAATGAGCGTGTGTGTGTGTGTAAGTGTGTGTGATATCTGACCCAAATAACTACATTACATAAATCACCTAAGTAATAGCTGCCCTTTTTTTTCTAACCCCTATGGTTATTTGGGGCAGCTAGTACTCCTCTTTACTATCCAACTACACTTAGATGAGTACAAATAACGCCATAGATGAGTGTAAATATCGCATGGTATTTGTACTCGTCTATTGTAGAGTACCAGTTAAACAGGTTTTCTTGCATCGCGCAAGCGAAGAATTGGATTGTAGTTACGAAAAGAAAAAAGTGGAGGACAATTTGAATCATATTTCTGACAACAAAGAGTCGGAATGGCTGGCAAATATAGGTCAATGTTTATTAGATGAATTGAACGAAGAAAACCAGCTTGACGACCAGAAAATTTCTTCATTTAATGAAGAAAATAGAAACAGCAACACAACAATGCGCCAATTCCTTTCCACTTCTCATACTTCTGTCACACACTCCCTGTAGATAAATATCCACGAAATTCGCGTGCACTGAAATAACAGTTTGGCGTGTTGGATAATAAATAACTTATTAGACCTTTTGTTGTGTAGTATCGCTGAGTATGTTTACTCGTTATTTGTATTTTGACGAGCCCTACGTGCCTACAGCACAACTCATAAAAATACTCAGTGATACTACACAACAAAATGTCTAATAAGATAATTATATATATTCTTGTCAATTTATCATTATTTTTATCAGTATTTTTTATGTAGGGTACAAAATTAATAAACTAGTAACTGTTGTTGTTGTTTTTGCTGTTGTTGTCTCCTTACAATAGCAATACAATATCAAGCAGACAAGTGATAAAATAAAAAAGAAATAGATAAGTGATAAATAAAAGGAAACTATCAATTAGGGAATTATTAGATGATCAAATACCAAATTCTCTGAACTAAGATCATGAGAATTTTATGGCAGACAGTAAGGAGAATTACAAAGGAGATCTGGAGGGTTAAGAGGTTAAAATCTACAAAAGAGGCACTTAAGGCACAAACAAGTGTTCAAGTCTTGGAGAATGACAGAAAAATTTAAGATTTTGAGAAAGTTATGATTAGAAATACCTCAATTAGATGATCTTTTGATATGCATTGTTTTGAAAGTTTCAATGTCTAGGTTTTTGAGTCATCAACAAAGTTCTGAAAATGTTTGTCCAAACTGGAAGAATTTCTAAATAAATGTTTCATAGCGCTTGAATCTAGAAGAGGTCCACCCTTACTTTGTGGTGAATAATAAACAGCTATCGATTATTTCATCATTCACATGCACAATTGAGATGTTGGTAGAGATAGAAATTGAAATGATGACAGAGGTTTGAGTTTAATTTAGAAGCTGTTTATGTGCAACTGAATTTGATGGTTCAAGTACAGTAATGGTTTATGCTGAATACTTTTTTTTGTTGATTTTAAATAGAGGACAATGCTGTGCTAATGACGTATTCTGTAACTTGGGAGGTAGGTCAAGATGTGCTCATAAATACTAAATTTCATTAAATTCTATTTGATTGGTACAATATGAAGATTTATATGATTAGCTTCAAAAAAAGGGTCGTCCTTCCCAAAATTAAAAGCCAAAATTAAAAGCAAACAAGCAAAAAAAAAATATTACCGGTATCTGATGTATGTTTTGCTCACTGTGTAAGTGGAAAATCCTTTCCAAAAAGGCTTGTAACTTTTTGGGTGTTCTTGCCATGAAACCCAGAAAACCATAATCATGACAAATAATTCTGGAATGGGATTATATCAAGAAAATTAGAGCCAATCAAGCTTATGAAATCTTAACTGTAATGTAGTAGTAATAAGGAGTTACTGGGGATATTTTGTGGTTTGGTGTTTCTGAGCTTGCTTAATCTCTTTATATGTTGGGACAATTCTTTGGTTTTCATGCTTTTGGGCTTCATGGTAAAAAGATCCAAGAAATAAGAAGATATTTTTAAGTGAAGCCTTGTGATCATTGCTTCAGTAATGTGTTATTTCTATTCATTTACTTTTTGCACAGGCCAGTGACATTGTCTGGGCTTCACGATGGGACACATATCTAGCCATGAGTGATGTTCAGATCCACTGGTTTGCTATTGTCAACTCTGTTGTGATTGTCCTGTTTTTGTCTGGTGAGTCACCAATCACATGTACCTTAATTAATTTCTAGCACTAACAGGGCTTGACACTAACTTTTCAACTTACTAGCCAAGAGGCTAGTGACAACATAGATGTTACAACAATTTTAGTTTGTTTACTAGCCAAACTGATTGGTGGAAATCAAAAACCATTACCCAAAACCGAATTTCTACTAGTCTGTCACTAGTTGGCTACTGTTAGTGTCAAGCCATGACTAAACTTGTTAAAGAAGAAAATATAAACCCTCAGTAAGGTAGAGAAGTGGAGGGAAATGTGTAGTTTGGAGTGGGAGAGACTGAAATGAAGATATTTCAGGGGGTAAGTTCCCCTTTGTCTCCTGCTTTTGGGAGAAATCTGATTGTAGATGTACCTGTCATGGAGAGAGAAATATTTCTTTATACCTACACTGTAGCATGCAGTCAGTGTTACATTTATTGTATATTTTGTAATTAAAAGTTTGATTGATTGCACCTGTTAACTACCCTATCTTTGTCACAGGTATTGTCTCCATGATAATGATAAGGACATTACGACGTGACATTGCACGTTACAATAAAGAAGAAGAAATGGTGAGTTATTTCAAGGGCCTATCAACAGTGAAAGAATTTTTTACCAAAACAGTGAACCTGTGCAGCTCTGAATAATATAAATCTTACTTGTACCCTTGCTAGGCTGTGTGACGTTTTTGTTGTTAAAGAATGAGGTTAACTTTGTCAACCTCTGTCTAAATTGCAGATCATGTTGAGGCTTTAGTATAACGTGTACAAATGTGAATTTTACTAATTTTTGTCAATTTAAAGCATGATGTAAAGCAGAGTGACATGTTAAGGGGTAGTAATATAATATCAAAATGTGTCAGTTAAAATTAATAAGGGATTTTATTGTTTGCAGGAAGATACCATGGAAGAGACAGGGTGGAAATTAGTCCATGGTGATGTGTTCAGACCTCCTAAAAGGGCGTGGTTACTGACAGCATTTGTGGGCTCAGGAGTGCAGATCTTTTTCATGGTTCTCATTACTCTGGGTGAGATCAATTTAAAAGAATGTGTCAAATGATCAATGATTTTTTTGTTTGAATTCAAAGAAAAGTTGAAGAGTGCTTGTAACTATATTGGGTGTTATAATTTAATTATTTATTTCATTATTTAAATATCTTGTTATAGTGTTTGCTATGCTTGGAATGTTGTCACCTGCCAGTAGAGGAAGCCTTATGACAGCAATAATATTTCTCTATGTCTTCATGGGGTGAGTGTTCAACCGTTAAGAGATCCTAAGATCTGATTGTTAATTCTCTTCTCTATCTGCAACACATGTCCTTGTAAATTAGTTTTTAGAATTTGTTGTTGAAACAAGCCAGTCTGGAAAAAAAAAATTTTATTAATGGTATTTTATGAATTATATTGACCTCTTAAATATTTGAGTTTTGTACAGCAATCACTTTAACTTGTTGAATGATGTTATGTTATTGTACTGGAATTGATAATGATGATGATGATAAAGGTGATAACAATGATACGATAATATTAGTAATAGTGATAATGATAATGATGAAAATGGTAACAATGATAATATTGGTAACAATAATAAATTACAATAATCCTGAGTTACATTTCTCATTCTTCTTTTTATAAAGTGTTTTTGCTGGATATTTCGCTGCTCGACTCTACAAGACATGCAAGGGCCAAAACTGGAAGAAATCTGCAGTACTGGTAATATTCTTAATCTTAAGGGTGGCTACAAGATAGTTGCAAATTAGAGTAACTTGTGCACAGCTCTACCAATTTGTGTGGCTAGACATGTATTATGGCCTAAAACTGGACAATGTTACTTAGTCTAAACATTTTCTTTTTTTGTTTTCCTTCAGACGGCTGCTTTGTATCCAGGAGTTGTTTCTGCAGTCTGTTTTATCCTGAACTTTTTTATCTGGGGACAGCATTCTTCTGGAGCTGTAAGGGATAAATTTAATGGTATTGTGCTCTAAATTTTCCTCCAAATTTTTGTTTAATGGTTATCTGTTCTGCTTACACTTACCACTTGTCAGGTTCCCTTTACAACCATGCTTGCTCTTCTCTGTCTGTGGCTGGGAATTTCAGTTCCCCTTGTCTTCATTGGATACTACTTTGGATACAGAAAGCATGTAAGTATCAGCTTTTTATTAAAGTCTGCTTAGGAGCCAAGTGGCCCATCAGGCCAGCACTTAACTCCGTAGTATTTCTATTCCCCCCC